TTAGGTTAAGGGTTAGGGTTAGGGTTAGGGTTAGGTTTAGGGTTAGGTTAAGGGTTAGGGTTAGGGTTAGGGTTAGGTTTGGGGGGGTTAGGTTTAGATTTACGCGTTAATTTTAAATTTACCGCTAACAGCGTGCTGTTCGTCGCGCTGTGATGACGTCACGTACGCGGTTTCGTCGAGCGCGCTTTAGTCTACCGCGGTTTTGTGGTGGAACCAAAATAAAAGCCACAGTGGTCCCAGCTGTGTTAGGAGCTGAGGAGCTGAGGTGGTATTCAGCAGGTTCTGACCAGTTCTGGAGAACCGGTAGCAGAAATCTTGAGTAGTTCTGGAGAAACCGTAAATACCACTTCTGTCTGGTCCCACCCCCATCTATTCTCTGTCTCCCACGTCCCAGCTGATTGGGAGGAAATGGGGATTTTGCATTAACCTTCCCCTGGAGTCGGGTGGGAATGGAGATTTTACAGTATCCTTCCCCTGCCACACTCACCAAACCATGCCCACAGAACCGGTAGTAAAAAAAAAATTGAATCCCACCACTGGGAGTACATTGGGCTGTAACTCCTAAACTGGGGGGACTGGCTCCAAAAGATCTCAGGAATGACATCGGAGCTCTCCATCCATAAAAATGCAGTATTGTTGAAACTCTTGTCCTGACCTTTAACTTGAAACGGGCAAAATGGTGCATCATAGGACAACACATTTTGAACCAAGGTAACTCAAGTGGGCTAAATTGCAGAACGTATCCAAAATTCAGGGTCAATGTCTCCCAAGGGAATGAAATTTGGAAAAGTGGCTGCTTCAGTGCTACTGGCTGTTACGTGATCTTCGTTTTCAACTTTCCTTGAAGATTTCCTAGCCAGTCTTGCAATCCCTCCCTCATCCAGCCCCCCGCGCCACTTACCTCCCTGCTGGGAAGAGAAGGGAAAGGAGGAAGAAAGGAGATTTCTGATCAGATTCCTCCAAGAAAACTTAATGGGGAAGCTGGCAGGAAGTTGGAAGCTGCATCTACGCCCACTGCTTCCCCCCCCCCCTACTCTTGGTCTTTCTGTTTTTCTGTTTTGGTAAGGAAATATCTCTGAATCGAATGACCGAGTGGGGCACAATTTGTCTAGTACTAACTTATGAATTGACTGTAATTAGGGGCAAGATGTTCTGAATGATTTGGTTGGTTCCTTCCTGTTCATTTTCATCTTGAGGTCATGCAATTGAAGCAGGCTGGTTCTTGCTCCGTTGTGCCATGCGCCAGCTTAACTCAGGCCTCCAGTCCCAAGCAGTGGACAAATTCATGAAACAGCCATTCCGTTCAGGCTGGGATCCTGAACATGGGGGACTCTTCGCCTTCCAAGATGTTGATGGTTTCTGCCCCACTCAGGTATGGACCATAAAGTCTTATTTTCACCACAAAACTGAAACTCCCACCCTTCGCTCAAACCTCAGGGTGCCGTCGGCCAGACAGTGTCGGCTAGCGACCCCCAGGGGGAGAGCCTTCTCTGT